GTATTTCTCATAGATTTTATTTTTCCATTATTAAATGATTAGTGAATTATAACTATCTATACTATTAGAAAAAAAAATATTGTAAGAATATCTACAAATTTGTACTATTAATAAGAATTATAATAAAATTTGTTATTTAAGATAATTTTTAAAACTATTAAAATCTCTACAAATCTATATTATTAAGTTTCACCAACTTAACAAATGAAACTCCTATAAATTACATACAAAATATAATAAAAAATATTGCATATGGATATTTGGATCGGGTACGTAGTGATTTTCGGGCTGGATGCTTCAAGTCTAAAAAACCCAAATTTTATCCAAAATCTAATCTTAATATATACAACAAAAGTTTTGTGTAGGATCTAGACTAAACCAAAACTCATAGGTTCAAAAAATACCTATATGTACTTTACTTTGGATCCAAACTAACATGTATTTACAGATCAGCTTTTTAGATCCGGAAAGAATACCTAGACTTAAGAGAGAGTTATATAAAATTTAAATAAATTATTTTAAAATTTACATAATTTTAATTAAATTATCTGCTTCAAAATAATAAGATTTTGTAATATAATAATATACAAAAATATCAAAATACTAATTCATATCAAATTTTACTTATAATTTAATAACCTGCACTTTCGAAGCGCGGATCAAAATCTAGCCAATCTTTTAATTCAAAAGATGTTAATGTCTATCTCCCCTATCTAGTGTTGTCCGACATTGATGAAACAATCAAATGAAAGTGTTGTTTTTCAATTAAATATGTGCTTCATCAAAACATGTGAAACATGATTAAGCCCTGTAATTGCTCCATATCAGTAAAATGTACTTGAGGATTACGTTTTCTTGTAGATTTCAATATAATTGTAAAAGATTCATACTAGCACTTTCGATGTATTTTAGAACCAATATTCATCAGTTTTGCGTGTTGAGGAACATCTCTTTATATTCGGATGCCAACATCTTCATAATTAAAAAGCATCAATAAAATTTGCATACATCGTTTTACAAAGGATATAGACGGAGGAGAATTACATTAACAAATTTTATATTGAATTGTTTATGTGTTTAAAAGGTAATCTGACAATACATCTTTTGTTGGCAATTTTATTACTAAAAACTATATTATATAAAATATATAAATTAAAATAAGATAAATTTTACACTATAATCATATATATGAAATACATTATTATATTTATATAATGATTTAATAAGGAAAAATATTTATCACCTACATGAAAAATGCCACTACATGACTAAAGTTCTGAGGAAAGTTAATGTATCGAAAAGTACATGAACTATTATGTATTTTGTTGGTAACACAATGAGTATCATTCTAATAGATCAAAAATGTTTCATATTTAGAAGCTAGTAATTTCTATTGAAGTTTTGATATATTTTCACATGCTCTCAGTTGTATAACATTGCATTTGAATGCTTGTTCTATATATTTATTTTGTTTATTGTCTATGTGTATTATGATCGGTTTCAAATCATTTGGTTGTTGGATTTCAAGCAGTTGATGGATTTCAAATCCAACACATTTTTTTTAACTATCAGAGTGATGTTAATGGTGTTATTATCATGTGAATCATATAGTTTATATAGTTCTTGATATTTTTTTTTGTCTAGATATACGACTAAGTAGTGGTGTATAACTAAATCGTGTAACTACCAATCATTTTCCATTTCATTATTTAAGTTTCTGTTACCGCTTTTGACATTGCATTGGATCACCACCTACTTTAACACTTAGGGTTTGATTGGTATACAAGAAACTAAATTAGAGTAAATATAAAAGCGGCATATATATGAAATTAGACGAAAATTGATTGTCAGCTACCGGAAATATCAGCCATCACATGGCTAACCATGCAAAATAATAAAATGCACACTTAACTATATAAAGTATACAGTATACATGGTAACATCCTTGATCTTTATGTTATTGTGTAGCTAACATCTAATTACAAAGGCTAATTATATGAAGAAAAATATTTTAAATATAAAAAATTTAAGGTATGGAAAATATTTTTATATTTTATATGTTTATTATTATGAATATTTTATTTACTATTTTAAAAAGTGTTATACAAAAATATTAAAAATTAATATTATTTTATAAAAACCTTTAAACATTATTTTAATTTTATACTTTTAATAGTTTGTTAGATTAGCCTTTATTTTTAGAGAAAACTGCCAAAAAAACTTTGAACTTTTAAAAAGAAGCCAAAAAAAATTTCAACTTTTGTTTGAGCAAAACAATGCTCCAACTTTCAAGTATTATCTATTTCAACTCTCATTTTTTGTTAACTCAGCCATTTTAGAAACTTGAAAAGTCAACTGCTAAACATGTAAGCGTATGTTAACAGCTTAAATCATCCATTTTCTCAGGAAACGAGAGTCTCAAATTAAAAATCCTAGATTTTCTAATTAGATAATCCTTACATCCTATAATATCCATCCAGAGCCACTGACGATACAAAGGATGGCTAAAATGATGGGGTTACTTCGGGTTCATCGTACAGAGAGACCTGAACTAGAAAGTGTTAGGGAAGCTAAAGAACCTACGACTGAGCTACTAAATGAAATTGATGAAGAAGGTGATAACGAAGACAATATTGCAATTGATCAATGATACAGAGTCCGAAAATAATGATATTAGAGTCGAACCAGAAGTATAAATCAATTTTTAAAACGACGTTGTTTAGCGAGTTAATAGATGTTTACTAATTTAACAATTGATTTTTACGGGTTTCTAAATTACGGGTTTCTAAAATGGCCGAGTCAACAAAAAATGAGAGTTTAAATAGCAATATTTTAGAATTTGGGTATATTTTTTTGGTTCAAACATGAGTTGAAGATTTTTTTGGCTTTAATTTAAAAGTTCATGATTTTTTTGTTATTTTTTCTTTATTTTTATATATGATATGTTAGGGGAGATTTCTATTTTTACCCTATTTTTTGTAACACAATTCATGTTTTCCTTCAATAAAAAATATTTTTACAAATAAACTATTTCCTAAAAGGAAAAAAGACTTTTCTAACCTTGTATTATAGATATATAAAAAATCAAAAATTATTATTTATTTAAATAACTATTTATATTCATATATTTATAAAGTAAGGATAAATGAGTCTTTTACCTTTTAGTAACACTTCATACTTAAATATATCTTAAAAGGTTTCTTTAAGGAAGGTAAACTAGAATAATGATATCAAAAGTGAGCTTAAAGTAAATATTCCCCATTATTTTATAATCTTTTATTATAAAAACTTTTTTAATTTTTAAAAGTTTTCAAAACATTTTTAATGTTTTGAAACGTTATGTAAATTAAAAAAAAATATTTGTAAACTTTTTTTAATAAAATATTTAGTTTATTGAAAATGTTTATAAAGACATTCATAAAAATATAAAAACGTTTGAAAATTATTTTTTAAACGACTTAAATATTTGAAATCTAAATAAATATATAAAAATTATTTAGATAACACAAAATAATGGGGATTTTCTCAAATTCGTTTTCTAAAATTTGGTTTTATATTTTATATATTTTTGATATAATAATCTTGTGATTTAATTAATGTAATTAGTCTTGTGATATAATTAATGTAATTAGTCTTATGACGTTAGCTACATAACAACATAAAGTTCATAGATGTTAGCATGCATATCATATATTTACGTAGTTGAGTGTACATTTTTTTATTTTGCATGGTCAGCCATGTAGTGTCCGATACTTCAAAGAGTTGGCAATCATATTTTCAATTAAAAATGTGAGAAGGTGTTAAAAAAAAATGCAAAATAATTAATATCAGTTGTTCCTGCAATACCTAGTGTAAAACGTGTTTTTTTTTTAATAGTAAGTAGAAACTACAAATCTATAGCGTTTTACGTTATTGTTATAATTTAAGCTGAACTTGGAGTAATTTTAAATCCGGAGTACAATTACACTTAAACAACTAACTTGTCACTCTTAATATTTTGTTAACAGATCAAATGTTATAAAAAAATAAACCTTTAATGTTATTTCAAAAGTCTTGAGTCAAAACAAGAGCGCATTTCTTTTTGAAACACCAATGCATTATTTGTTGAGTTATTCTTAGGTTCACCCCGTAGGGTGAACCTCTAGGTTCACCAATTTCATATTTGATATCTTTCTAAAAAGGAAATAAAATCTTGTTAAGTTATATTATGTTTTCAAAATAAAAATACAAAAATAAATAAAAAAAATATTAAAAAAACGAAAAAAAATATTTAACACTAAAACACTAAACACTAAACCCTAAACTCTAATCTTAAACCCTTGGGTAAATCATAAACCCTTTAGAAAAATATCTTAACCCTTGGGTAAATTAATACTAACCACTTATATTGTTTTTATTTATTTTTATATTTTTATTTTAAAAACATAATATAATGTAACAAAATTTTGTTTTTATTTTACAGATATATTAAAAGATTTTTTTTTAAATTGTTTTTTGAAATTATTACTATTTTATTTTATTTTTATCTTTTTATTTTAAAAACATAATATAATGTTAAAATATTTTTTAAAGAATTTATTTTCGTTTTTTGTAAGTATAATTTTTTTTTATTTTTTTTCTATTTTTATTTTGAAAACATAATATAACTTGACAAGATTTTGTTTCCTTCTTAAAAAAATATCAAATATGAAATAACACAATTCTATTGGTTGATGAACCTAGAGGTTCATCCTAGGGGATGAACCCAAGAATAATTCTTATTTGTTTCCAAATTTATGACAAAAAATAAATAAATTTGTAACTCTAAAGGAAAGCAAGATAATCATTTACAGGTCAATGATTACTATCACAGACCAAATACATGCATTCAAGGTAACTTTAATATTTAGTCATCACTTAATAGTAGTATATATTTACGTTTTTTTTTTTAACATCTATAAATAGGGAACCAATATGCACTTTAAGTTCAATCCAACCCACTCCACACAAATTACAGAGCAATGGCTTTCTCTAATAAGCCTCATTTCATATTGATATTTATGGTCTCATGTTTCATTCTTACTCTTTTTGTTTCAGCGTTAGATGTCTCAAATGCTGTGGCGGAAGCACCATCACCAGGATCAGGCGGTGACGGCTACTTACCTCTATCAAAAAAGCATGTCATAATCCACAACGTTGTAAATAACAAGCAAACTCTGAATGTACATTGCAAATCTAGTGAGGATGACTTGGGGTTGATCCATCTCCCTTGGAATCAAACCTGGGGTTTCCGATTTCGTGTGAACATTTGGGATACTACAAAGTTTGTTTGCAATTTTACGTGGTATGGAGGCGGATCCCACAATTTTGATATATTTGATGTATGGAGAGATGATAATGAATTTGGACAGACTCCAGTGTGCAGCGTATGTATTTGGGAGGTGGGAAGAAACAATAAAGACAAAGCTATGTGTCGAATACCTCGAGATGGAGCAAACCCTTATTGTTTCAAGTGGGACAATAATTAATGTTTAAGAAAAAGACTATTGTTATCACTTATCTCTGATCTAAATAAAACGTTACCATCGTAATACCATTCATGATGTTCAAATGCTTACGATTTTTTTTACCATCCTAATAGATCTTTCAATTGCTTTTTATCGTAAGAAGTTTTCAATATCTGCATATATAAGCAAACTAGATTTCTAAGTACATCAAACAAAAAAGATGACATGAAATATACTTGGTACGGAGGTGGATCTCACTATTTTGATATATTAATTTATAGTATCAAGAGACGATAATGTATTTGGACTGATTCCAGTTGTAAGGAATGTGTTTGGGAGATGGGAAGAGACAACAAACACCTAGTTATGTGTCGTATAATTCAAGGTGAAGCAGATCCTTATTGTTACCTGAAACGATACTTTTTTTGCTAAAATACCTGGGACGATAAGTTCTAAGAAAAAAAAGATTACTGTTATTACTATATCTAATTTTTTTTTTTTTTTTTTACCATCGTTCATAATGTTCAAATTCTTAAAAGCTTTCACTGAAAACATGGTTTTAGTTTACCGTTGATGATTTGCTCAAAAAACAAAAAAAAAAAGTTTAGAGAAAATTTAAGAATGATAAACTAATAAAAATAAATCAAGAATGAGGAGGTTACCATCTGAAAATATTATATGGTTTAAATTTTAACTAATAGTTCAAGTCTCGCTCTAAAACTTTATAAGCTACGTACCTTATACGTGAATATCTTCATAAATCTATATGCGTATCTGGAGATAGGATATAACTACTAACCGGACAGTCCAGTTATGTTTTTTATTGGTCATCGAATGAGTAGTAATGATTTTTTTTTTTAGAAGTAATGATTTTTGTGAAGTTTTGTTCTATGAGGTTTGTATGTTTATCATTTTCTATGTGGAATTGCTATACTTATTTCAGGGCCAGCCTTGGGTTGAAACCCATAAAACTAAGACTTTAAGCGCCATAGAGAATAATTATTTTATGCACACCGACTATGGAAAAAGTGTGTTTGGTCTAGTGGTTAGTTACAACTTTCTCATCATTATATATGCCTTTTAGCTTACGAGTTCGAGGCACCAATAACACATTCTCTTTTTGATTTTTTTTCTCTGAAATTAACAAGTTTTAGTTATTCATTGGAGTTTTAGAATCCGGTTACATGTTCCAACTCTCCTTTTTTTTTTTTATTTATGTGCATTATATTAAATGATATGTTCTTAGAAACTCCAATAACACTTTTTCTTAACGTAGCCTAGTTATTTCTTCTTCTTTTCATCAAATAATGATTTATATTCCCCTTTTTCTTCATTTATTTCAACTTTGCTACAATAGCTGTTTAAATTAAAATGTATCATAACAATCAATTAGAATTATCAGTTGCTCATCTTCCACTGTTTCATAATTGCTGTTTTTTCCTAAATAGCTCCATGGGAGTTTTTTTGTTTTTCTAAAAACAACATCTTTTCTTTATTTTATTTTTTTGTAAGTTTTTGTAATTTTTCTAAGAACTTATTAAATTCTGAAAAGTTAAAATATCATAGGGGTTTAATATTTCAAAAAACCTATGAAAACAATAAATTTTGTGAAGTTATGTTAGCGTAATTTATTTAATCAACCAAATGAAATTTTAAATACGAAAGTAAACAACGAATATGATAAGCTGTAGACGATGTTTTAATTTTTTTTTACTTTTTAAAAATGTTTTTATTTTAATAGTATATAATATTATTTTGATCATATATGCTTAAATTATACTAAAATTAAATTATAGTTAAGGGGCAACATATTTTTCAGGCGCCTAGAGGATCCGGACCGGCACTGCTCACTTTACAGTGGCAAACCCTATCATGTTTTTCTACAAGGGTCAGCCACAAAAATGTGTACCGAACTAGCTAAAGTATTCTATTCTTAAGCTTTCAAATCTTAAGTTTAATAATTTAACCTATCAAGTGATATCCTTACTGCTATGAGGAATTGCTATACTCACTTGACAGGGGGCGAACCCTATTATGTTTTTCTACAAAGGGTCAGCCACAAAAATATGTACCAAACTAGCTAAAGTGTCCTATTATTAAGCTTTCAAATCTTAAGTTTAATAATTTAACCTATCAAGTGATATCCTTACTGTTCACTTAGGTTTGTTTCTGCCACTTGTTCATGAGTAAATCTTTTTCAATACACTAAATTATGAAATTTAACATAGAATATATAGTAAAATATAAAATTACAAGTAAAATACCGTATTATTTTCTTAAAATATTACATAACGCTCTCATATATGATCAACTATTTGCAACCTGGAGCTAAAAATATATCTTTTAAAGTAGTAAAATTCAAATTTATAAAAACAAATTTTAAATACTTATGAAATATATAAAAATAAGAATTAATACGATAGACAACAAAATATTTAATAATCATAAAAATGAAATGTAATTCTAAGGATCTAAATACAAATAAACATAAGAAACTTCATATCTGAAGTTTCGAAGTTTCCTTTTGAAGAGCAAAAAATTTCATATTGAAAATTATAGTGTCTTTTGGAGATACTTTTTAGAGGGTTGATTAAGTGGCCTATAGACGCTAAGATTTTACAAGTAATGGCAATATTTTTTACAATCTAAAATCATAATATAATACTAACCAAGTTATAAAGCCCATTATTTATAAGTTATGATATTTTATATATTATATATGGCTTTACAAACCCCATCAACTAAATATCGACTGTAATTAGAAGACTGCTGAACTAATTTTAATAAATGAATCTCTCAACTTAAAATCTGTTGATTCTGTTTAAACAAATGTTGATGAAAACCGTTAAATACAAATACTGTGTTATGTCTAGAGGAAATATATTTTTAATAGTAAACACCCCTAAAATAGTAAACCTTTTAATTATTTTCAACGAATCAATCCCTTAATTAAAATGATCTTACTGTCAATCTCCCTTATCTAGTGTTGTCAGACGTTGATGAAAAAATTAAATGAAAGTGATGTGTTTTAACTAAATATGTAAACCTTTACTCAGAAAAAATAAATAAATAAATATGTGCGTCATCAAAACACATGAAACATGATTAAGGCCTGAAATTGCTCCATATCAGTAAAATGTACCAGAGGATTACGTTTTCTTGTAGATTTCAACATAATCGTAAAAGATTCATACCAGCACTTTCTAAGTATTTTAGAACCCATATTCATCAGTTTTGTGTGTTGAGAAACATCTCTTTATATTCGGATGCCAACCTCTTTATAATTAGAAAGCATCAATAAAATTTGCATGCATCGTTTTACAAAGAATATAGACGGAGGAGATTTACATTAACAAATTGTATATTGAATTGTTTATTCGTTTAAAAGGTAATCTAACAATACATCTTTTGTTGGGAATTTTTATTACTAAGAACTATATTATATAAGTTATATAAAATAACATAAGATAAATTTTAAAATATAAATTAGATTCCAGTCATTTATACAAAATACTTATTATATTTATAAAATGTTTTTAATAAGAAAAAATGATTGTCACCTATATAAAAAAGACTCATTCTTTTTTTTTGATCAAAAGACTCATTCTTGGGTTCACCTTCTATGATAAATCTCTAGGTTCACCAATTAATAGGATAGTGTTATTTCATATTTGACATCTTTTAAAAAAGAAAACAAAATCTTGTTAAGTTATATTATGTTTTAAAAATAAAAATAGAAAATAAGTAAAAATAATAATATTTACAAAAAAGGAAAAAAAATTATTTTTTAAAAAATGAGTCATTCTTGTTTCCACCCCTAGGGTGAACCTATAGGTTCACTTAGCCAATAGCATCATATCTAATTTTTGGAAGAAAAAAAAAGGTAAAAATTAGAAACAATATTTATCTACAAAATTAAAGAGAGAGAGAAAAATAAAAAAGGAAAACAGAAAAAGACGTCAAAGTTGTTTAACGCCGTGGAAGAGAAGAAACTGTGTTTCTGATTTTCTGAGTTTCTAAGTCTGTGCTTTCAAATCCAACCTAGATTTCACCTCTGTCTGGATGTACGTGTAACCCTAATAATCTATTTTTCTTTTGGTCAACTAACCCTAGTAAAATTGTTTTTACCTTTGGTTTTACAGAAAATTTGAGAAAGAATTGAGAATAAACCATTAAATGGTCAGGAAACTGTTCTTGGTAGTCAATATGGATCTGCTTTACAAGTCTCAGGTGATTTCAATTTTATAAACAAAAAAATCAAACTCTGCATTTCCAAATTATATAATAAGAATATGCTGAACTAAAAGAGTTGGATTCATCATTAAGTTTACTTGTTCAATAGGGTTTGGTGTGTGTTTCGTGGTGAATGAGAAATAAATTTTAATGCACAAAAATTATAACTGAAGTTAAGTGTCAGGGACATGAGATTTTCTTGCTACAGACCAAATTGGTTCTCCTTTAATCAATTATATATTAGTAGTTGTTTGACGAAAAAAATATATTAGTAGTTGTATGTAACAAATTAAACACGTGTTCTTATGACTTTTGTTTTGCATGTTGACAAAAAAGATGATGAGATCTTTTTTTTTTAAATCTGTTGGCTTCTTTCTTTTCAAGTGGTTATCTGATAAACCAAAAGTTAGTTGAGTTGTTAGTTGAGGAAGACGACACTTCAGTTAGTGGATCTGGAGAAAAATATGAAATTTTCAACAAAGAGGATCAAGTTGAAACTGAAGGTGTTGATATTTTAGAAGCAGACAATGAGAATGAGAAGAAAGATAAACTTTATATTGGGAGGGAATTTAGTTCTAATAAGACTGCGCATATAGTTTATTGTAAGTACGTAGGCAATCATGGTTTAAACGTAAGAAAACAAAGAAGGAGGAAAAAGAAAAAAGAAGATAGCAAAGATTATGATAGACCATTTGTTCCATTTATCGGGGTCAATCATCATAAGCAGACTCTTTTGTTCGGAGCTGCTATCTTATATGATGAAACCACTGAATTTTTAAGTGGCTTTTTGAGACTTTTCTTGGAATAATGTCTGGAAAACTACCAAAAACATTTCTTATAACCAGTCTGCAGCAATAGCGAATGGAACAATGAAGGTGTTTTCAGAAACAAAACATAGATTATGTGTCTTGCATATTTACCAAAATGCTGCAACGAATTTGAGTCGTGTGTTTTGACGGGCCAGACCAGTTTGCCATGGATTTTGGAAAATGTGTATATGACCATGAGGAAGAAGAAGACTGGTTATTGGCGTGGAGTGATATGCTCAACAAGCATAAACTGACAGAGGATAAATGGTTGAAGAATTTGTTTGAGATGAAAGAAAAATAGGCAATGGTATATGGCCGTCATACTTTTACAGCTGATATGGTGAACACACAACGTAGCGAAAGTATGAATAGTATTTTGAAAAGATACTTGAAGTGCAGTTTTGACTTGTTGACCTTTTTAAACACTATGAGAGAGTGTTGGATGATAGATGATATAAAGAATTAGTTGCTAACTTCGGTATGATGCACACTTCGCTGGTATTAGTTGCTTATGTAGAGATGTCGCAACATGCATAATAAGTGTATACACCAGAAGTATTTATCTTGTTCCTAAAGGAATACACAGTCAACGGTGATTATGTTGCAAAAAAGACCAGTAAGTCTGAGATGGTGTATGACTACAATGTATCTTATCGTGGTGCTGCACAAGAGCATTTGGTTAAGTATGATGTTGCAAACCAAACGATACAATGTAGTTGCATGAAGTTTTCATTTGCTGGGATCTTATGCTGTCATGCATCGAAAGTGTTAGACAAAAGAATGTTAGAAGAATTCCACCTGCTTACATTCTGAATCGATGGAGTAGAAAAGCAAAAGCATGAACCATATCTTGTTATCATTCAGAGATACCTAATGAAGAAGTGAAGCAATTGATTGGAAAGCGATATAGTCATATTTGTCGTACTTTCCGTGAGATTGCATCTATTGCTGCTGAACATATAGTACTCACATTGTGTGTTGATGAAGATGCGATTGAGTTGCTTAAAAAACTGGAGGAAAAGAAAAAGGAACTTGTGAGAGCTAATAAATGGATGCCTCATAGTTCAGAGGATAAACTTATCGAGGAAGAAGACAACAAAGACGTTCAAAGTGTACGTGGACTAAAATAAAAAATCCTATTAGGCGACCTAAGAACCAAAAAGATGGATCCCATGGTTCATTTAAAGTTGTTCTCGAAAAACAAAATCGTGATATATCAAAATCATCAAGTAAGGCTAGAGCAAAGAAAAAGTTATCTTTCCAGGTATTTGATATATATTATTAGTTATTAGTTTGTCAAATTTTCATCAAAATTTGACTTAATCAATATATGTATGGTCCAAGAAGCAACTCCTAGTCACAATATAATACCCAATTATCTTTTGCTACCACCGAGCCGATCTTACATAATGGACCATTTTTCTCTCAAGTACCTCAGGTAAAATTTAATTATGTCTAGTATTTATAATTTAATTATATGTCAATAATCAAAAATTTTATAAATTATTCAGGAACCAACTCCTATTTTTGGTACATGGTTATTTGTTCCTGTCACCAACCCGACATTACATAGTGGAACATTTTTCTCGCAATTACTCCATGTAAATATTTCATTCTATATGTTTTTTTTGGAACACTCATTCTATATGTTATTTATAATTAAGTTATATGTCTTTTTAAAATAGATATTCTTTTTTTTTTCATGATCCACGACTTCGAAAAGAATTATGCTGACAGTTCATCGAAGGACTTCGACAAGAATTATGGCGATGATTCATAGGATCGTATGTTCTTATTCATTTTTATATTTTTGAATACAAGATGTTTTGGACAAGATCGGGTATTACTTATTTGACCAATGCATACATGTGATCATCTTCGAACTCTCTATGTTCTTTGAGCTTTTAGTACAAATAGACTAACAGTTTTGATACTCTAGCGAATACCAACCTTTTTGCAAAAGGATTACCAAGCTTTAAAGCAACATAGAGATAATGATCAAAGGAAAGGGGTTTGATAGTTACTTAGTTGTCGAGTACGTTAGAGCCTCTAAAATTAAAGTTCAACTTCTTATAATTATAGCTGTATACAAACGTGCGAGTATCAGACTCTTTATTTCTATTTTTTCTCTCTCCCATATATAAACATGATTCTAGTGGAGGTGGAGATGGGTTGGATTTTCTTTGTGGCTGTAATTTGGCAGTGTTGAAAAGTCCACTCTCTTGATGATGTTAACTGACACACACTCTGAAGCAGCCTCATATGAATTCACAACACTTACAGCTGTTTCTCCCTCTCAGTTGTGCTTCTTCTTTTCTGTTTGGTGTCTTCTTTGTTCACAACCTTCTTATTTCCGGTTCCCTTGACCTCAAGCTTAACTTATCTGAAAAAAAAAAAAGCTTAACTTATCTGTTTTTAGTCATTAGATCTTTTTGGTACTCAACTTCTGTTACAAAATTTTGCTTCTCAAAGTCCTGGATCATGTGATCAACCTTTTGATCAACAAGCTTAGTCTCTCTCTTGACAATAATCCATGATTAGCTTCTCTGTTTTTAATTTAAAATCTTAGTTCTAATTTAGAAAATCATGCGCATGGTTTTCTGAATTAGTGAGTATCGACCAAAATAATACCAAATCATGGACATTTAATAACTTGAATTTTCTGAATATAAAAAGCCTAGAGAAGAAAGAAGGGTAGTCATCCACCATCATTTAAAAGTGCTTTCTAAAATAACATTATTTTAATATTGTTGTATAGCACTTCTGAAAATAAAAAAATATTCACAATAATAAAAGTATAAAATATAAAAGGTTTTTCATATTTTACAATGTTTTTTATATTTTTATAATTTATTGATATAATAAGTCTTGTGATGTAATTAATGTAATTAGCCTTGTGATGTTAGCTACATAACAACAAAATAGTTCATGGATGTTAGCTTCCATACCATATATCGTGTAGTTGACTGTACATCTTTTTATTTTGCATGGTCAGTTATGTATTGGTCGATACTTTAAGTAGTTAGCAATCTTTTTTTTCAATTAAAAAATGTGAGAAGTTGTTAAGAAAAATAAATGCAAAATAATTAATATCAGTTATTCTTGTAATATCTAAAGTAAAATTTTTTTTCGAATAGTAAGTAGAAAAAAATCTATTGTGTTTTAAGTTATCTATCTATAATACTAAAAGGAGGATATGACACCATCTTAGCGCGTCCACGTCAACTGAGAAAATCAGCCAATAGAAAATTAGCCAATGAGAGCATCTGATTTTGCCAGCTCAGCACGGAATTGGTCTGATTTTGGGCTTCTTTTTTTATCTGCTTTGTTTAAGATGTCTGGCCCGTTAGGCTCAAATAAAGGAAAACCCTGAAGAACTGAGTGGATGAACAATAATATCCTACCTTTTCATGTTGTTCTTCGTCCTTTCCACTTCTCCAACTGATCGTCGATCAATCGGAGCTGCATTTCTCTTACCTTGCCACTTTCCATTCACCTTTGGATGAAGAAAAAACTTCAGTCGAATCTTCGTCGGATTTATTGGAAAAAGTATGTTTCGCACTAAATTTTTTTTTTGGGTTTCGAACTATCAAATCGATAAGTGATTTCTTGATGTTAGAGTGCAAGATCAGTTGAAGAATAAATTGATAGCGAACGATGTCATCCCATGGAAGTTATCTTCATTGATTGAAATATCTCAGCGATGGAGATGATTAAGTACATTAGAGGTGTGAACATGAGTTTTTACAAGAAAGACTCTTCCGTGGCACGTGTTTGTCTCTTAGATGTCCATGTTTTTTTTTTTTGCCTTTTGTGAGTTCCTCTTCTCCTTCTCTGTGTCTGATATAGTGTTGTACTATTTTCATTTGCTTAGTCAAGTATTTCAGAATCTAAAAATTGGACTTTTCGTGTTAAAATCTCATGTTTTTTTTGCAGATTCTACAAAAAGGAGGGATGATAAGCATCTGTTCCGTACTTAGCTTTCGTCTTACAGTTGACTAATCTTAAACCATGCTTTTGTTATTATTTCTTAAAGTCTCTAGCTTTGCTTTTGTTAAATTCAAAGGTACTGATGGTTTCTGGAAATAAAATACATCATGCACGAGATATAAAAAGCAAAAAAATTATTTTTTTACCTTAGTTTATTATGTCTCCTGGATCTCAAGATTTATAATGTATGACGCGAGATTATTTAACTGGTCACTCTATCTAATAGCTGGAGTAGAAAAGGATATTGGGAGATTATACATCTAATTATGGTGGCGTTCTATGTTTTACATCTCAACATCTCGAGAAATATATATTCACTGAAACGTATTGTTGGCATGTTTATTTTCTTATATGGTTCAGGTGTACTGTAATTAGCTCTGAATTTCTATAAAATCCTTAAGAGGGTGTTATTGGTTTGTATATTTTAATGGATTTGAAAATACAAATAAAATCTAGTTGGTATAATTTCAGTTGAACTTTTGGAGTAATTTTAAATCTGGAGTACAATATTACACTAAAACAACTAACTTGTCACACTCAATTTTGTTAAACACAGATCAATTTTTAAAAAAAATAAACTTCTAATATTATTTCAAAAGTCTTGACTCTTGAGTCAATACAAGAGTAATTTTATTTTTGAAACATAAAGAATGCATTATTTGTTTCCAAATTTATGACAAAAATAAATAAATTTGTAACTCTAAAGGAAAGCAAGATAATCATTTACAAGTCGATGATTACTATCACTGACCAAATACATGCATTCAAGGTAACATTAATATTTAGCCCCTTAATATATATTTAGGTTTTTGTTAACATCTACAAATAGGAAGCCAATATGCACATTAAGTTCAATCCAGCCCAGTCCACGAATTTACAGAACAATGGCTTTCTCTAATAAGCCTCATTGCATATTGATGTTTATGATCTCATTTTTCATTCTTAGTCTTTTTGTTTCAGCGTTAGATGTCTCAGATGCTGTGGCAGAAGCACCAGCACCAGGATCAGGCAGTGACGGCTTCTTACCTCTAGCAAAGAAGCATGTTGTAATCCACAACGTTGTAAAGAACAAGCAAACTGTGGATGTACATTGCAAATCTAGTGAGGATGACTTGGGGTTGATCCATCTCCCTTAGAATCAAACCTGGGGTTTCCGATTTCGTGTTAACATTTGGGAAACTACAAAGTTTGTTTGCAATTTTACGTGGTATGGAGGCGGATCCCACAATTTTGATATATTTAATGTATGGAGGGACGATAGTGAATTTGGGAAGTTTCCCGTATGTAGTGAATGTCTTTGGCAGGTGAGAAGTAGCGATGGAAACGAAGCTATGTGTCGTATTACTGGAGATTCAGATCCTTATTGTTTCCCATGGGACAAATAATGTGTAAGAAAAAAAAGGGTTGATGTTATACTACTAGGATTCGGACCCCTGCAATTCGCGGGAAAAACAATATTAAATTATAAATTTAATTTAAAATAATTATATATAAAATTATTTGAAAATAAAAATGATGAAAATATTTTTTTTTGTAATTTTTCACTTTAGTTAGAGACATTTTAATTCTTATTTATTTTTATTTTAATCAATTTTTAATCCATAATTTTTTTACTTAAAGATTCTATATTCTTTCAAATTTGAAACATCAACACAAATATCTTAATCTCTAAACTTCTACCTTATTCATAAAAATCATACTTTTTTCTTTGTATGAAAATATACCCATTTATTTTCAAAAAAATACCCATCTTTTGAAAAATTATTTTATACTTTTGGAAAAAAAATAATATAGTAAAATGGAATATTTTGAAAAATCAAGTACAGTAAAACATTGAAACTAAATAACTCATAAAAACAACATTAAGTAAAATAATATAAACTATAAAGCTAAAAATAAAAAAAAAATATTACAATTTAAAAATAATCTAGTGCCCTTATGGTGAGACACCTAGCTAGTATAAAACTTTTTGGAAGGAAAAAGATGATAATATGTTTAATATATGAACTATTTTTGAATTTTATGCTAAAATAATTGAAAAATACAAATAGACTAAGTGAAAAATACTCCTTATGTTATATAGAGTTAAATAAAGAAAATAATAATGTATTCATAACTAAAATTGAGTTATTCTTAGGTTCACCCCCTAGGGTGAACCTCTAGGTTCACCATCCAATAGAATTGCATTATTTCATATTTGATATCTTTTAAAAAAGGAAAAAAAAATCTTGTTAAGTTATATTATGTTTTTAAAAATAAAAATACAAAAAAAAAAAAATTAATAAAAATAATTAATAGTTGTTTTAAAGAAAATATTTTAACACTAAATCCTGAACTCTAATCCTAAACCCTAAACCTCTAGGTAAATCATAAACCTTTGAATAATTTTTATAAAAAATTCTTAAAAAAAAAATATTTTAACACTAAACCCTAAACTCTAATCCTACACCCTAAACCCTTGGATAAATTATAAACCCTAAACCCTAAACTCTAATCCTAAACCCTAAACCCTTGAGTAAATCATAAACACTAAACCCTAAACTCTAATACTAAACCCTAAACCTTTGGGGGAAATCATAAACATATTTTTTTTAGGGTTTAGTGTTATGATATTTTCTTTAAAAATAATTTTTTTTTTATTAATTATTATTATTTTTGTATTTTTATTTTAAAAACATAATATAACTTAATAAGATTTTGTTTCCTTTTTTAAAATATATCAAATCGGAAATAATACAATCTTAGTGGATGGTGAACCTAGAGGTTCACCTTAGGGGGTGAACCCAAGAATTAGTCTATTCTTAATACATGAAAATAAAAAATTTAAAAAACATGTATTTTCGAAAAGGACGGCATATATTTTTAATGCAATGTTTTGGAAATGAATATTTTTTATAATTTTGTTCTTTTTTTTTGGAGTATTGAAACTATATTTTTCCTCTCCTTTTTTCACTGTTTATAAATGTTGCATTTTGTATATAGACCAAAGGGTCTGGAAATAAATTTTAAAGTTTACAATGGTTTACAAAATTAGAATGGTTAATTATCAAATATTGCAAGGGTTCACATTAAAAAAATATAGTATAACATTAAAACAATTGAAAGTGTTTATCTAAGCAATTGCAATGATACATTTAAGGCAACTCCAAAAGTTCATCTAAATAAATATACTTATACATGTTGACTTAATTAATTTGTTTTCAAAAAATAATTCAGTTGAAACTTAAAAAAACAATTATACAGTCTCCAAAAACCTTCCATCTTGTCCGCATATATATGTTGTTTCTGGTCCAAACATATTTTGTTGAAAACTGAAAGTTAGTCATATCAATATAGTTCCAAGGTTATTTTGAAATTCTCTAATACTTTCAAATATTTGGAAATAATAATAAAAATTATGTGTAAAAATTTCAAATGAAGAGTATTTTGAAGGTAGTGTGTAAATGATATTATGTTATACAAACTGAATATATAGAATATTAAAGATAAGAGAATTAAAATGCCACCTTTATTTTAAGAAGTGGTTACAAAATATATATGAAATTATAAGAAAAATCACATTTTAAAAGGTGCTTTTTTAAATGATATGATTACAAAAGGCATTATGATAAAACACATACATGCGAAAAGTATTTGTTGATGTTTTATATTAATGAAAATAATACTTGTATTGTGGTGCAATGATTTGAAGCATTATAAATATCAAACTCGCATCGACATTTGATTTTGTGGTCTCTCCACTAATTCTTCTGAGTACAACGGATGCAATGACAGANAATGTCCACCGGAATAATATTTGACCGGGTTAGGATGTTGAGGAAACACAGAGAAGAGAAGTCCAAAGATAGACAAAAGGCAAATTAGAGAAAAGAGATTTGGATGTTGAGGAAATATACAGTCTATTCTTATAAATAAGGTTGTGAAAGGAGATGACTCTTTACGGAGATATGACGGTTCTGCAAATTTTACAAGCGTCGTCTTTGAAAAGGTATGACTCGTGAATTGAAGACAATTGAACAAAGAGATAATTTGCTCCAGCACCATAATTGGAGATTATATTAGAGAAATACCTATGATTTGACATAAAAGCAAGTTTCTATACAATTATGACTTCGTTTGATACTGAAGCCCTTCTGACACTCTTTTTCTTCTCCTCTCTTAACGAGTTTCTATACTTTTTGTTTCTTCAACATTTTTTTTATCCAAATAATTTTTATTCCTTAAAAACTGATATCAATCAAATGTTTAACCCTAAGAAGTGAATTATTCTCTCAAATAAGAGGTTCAGTTGTAGTACTTAGGGATCAAATTCACAGGGAACTAAGGAACACAATAGATGTAATCCTAAGTGATTATGCTAGGTTGATTAAGTTAAAATCGTAAATTGCAGTTTGTGAGCAATGGCAAGTTGCTCAAGAGAATATGTTTTGGTTTTAAGAAAATAAAAGAAAGTAGTTAGATTCAAGGTTGGTATTCAGATAATCAGGATTATAATGCTACAGATGTTTTAGTGAATTGCTTGCAAGATATATAAGAACTTCGATTCTTAGGCAGATCTAATAGCAGTCGCTAAATAGACTCATCCATTGATCTTACTGCCGGCAATATCGACCGATGTTTTGACAACGATATCAGATGATATGGGTTGCCATCGATCGATAACTCTATAGGAGTATCGATCGATATAGCATAAGATCGAATCAAAACTGTGTTCACCAAGATCATAGACCGGCTCTCGCACATCCCTAGAGGATCTAAGCTTATGCCAAATGATTTAAGGACGATGATTAACAAGTTAAATCACATCCATGATCATACTCTAGATAGCTACTCTAGAGTAAGCATTAAGGTTCATTTGGATAATGAATATCAACAACTCAACATTCCATAGTTGGGGCTAATCCCTTATAACTATTTGAACCTTAAATCTAACAAATAAATCTACTCAGACATAGCTAAGAGATTCATAACAGCAAGGTAATAATAAAAATTCATGAGATTAGAAGATTGAACTCTTGGTTCTTGGAACAACAAATCTCTTTGTGTGTTTCTTCTAAATCTAGAATTCTATAACCTTTGAGAATTAAGATGAAAAGAATACTCTATTGCTAAGTATAGAATAGTATCAAAAGAACAAAAGAACTTAAAAGGATTCAAAAGCATGTCTAGCAAAAACACATAGGCAAAACTAAAAATATGAGTTCCATTAGGTTAAAAACTCGTCAGGGTCATTATTATAATATTGGGAAAACTTGGGCTTCAAGTCGGCCAAGTTAGACTTGTTCTCCACGCTTAATATCGATCGATTGTACATGGTGTACATCGATCGGATGGAGTATCTCGACTTCATCTTCTATGGAAGCGTCATCGATCGATGACACGGGGTGTGTATCGATCGATATGTATTCTTGTTGTCTGATCTTCATAGTCATCTGGGAAAACTCTCATTTAAGTACCATAAGGGCATCTAAATCATCACTTTACTTCAAAATTCTCCTGGACCTGAAAACATACCTAATAGACTCCAAAACATATATAAAACTTATAAAAACATATCAATACCATGGATAAAAGCGGGTCAAAATCGTGGTATATCAACTCCCTCAGACTTAACCTTTTGCTTGTCCTCAAGCAAACCATTAGTAGCCTTTTGGAAGAAGTTTAAAATCAGTAGGGACTCAATAAAATCTTAACTTTAAAATCATCACTTCTACTTTGTTGCAAGCCACATCTCATATTACTAACTACAGAAGTACATTATACCATATCATAGCTTAGCAACCAAATTCATCTAGCCAATCAACTTAAACAATCATGTCTGTCTATCCCCTCTACTGATTTCATTTATGCATAAAATAAAGGTGTAGGCTTTACCTTGGGAGTATCGATCAAATAACACTTGGATTCAACTCAAACAAGTTTCAAGCATTCTCATCCTGGTTCCTTTTCTTTCTTTATCCCCCTTCTCTGAATCCCAAACTTTCTTTTCTTTTACATCAATCCCAATGAACAACTAATGTTCATCTTATTGATCTTTCAACTTTTTATAGCTTTTTGACAAAGTGTAGGCGAATAGTGGGGTCATAGGTAATTTACCTCTCCTTCGCTTCCACAATGTGTGATCATTCCTTTGATT